AATTATCATTTGGTGAATCCACCAAAACACCTTGAGATTTACACAGTTTATGGATGAGACCTAGAAATCTCATACGACCACAAGATATTCTGTTTAGTCGCATACATAATTTTTGTAATATTTGTGACAATATCTATCATAGGAGTAATAGTGTTGAATCTCCATTCTCATAATGATATTCCTCTATGCATAAAGTGTGCCCAAGCGCACTTGGGCCAATTATCATACTTTGAATACACGTGTGGAGAATGTTCAACAATATCAAGATATGCATTAATAGTTAATGCATTGAAATTAGTATAGACACATCAAACAAACGATGTATGAGTGACCGGTACTCTCTATCCTCTCTTATGTCTTTGGGATAGTACGCATTAGCATAGAATTATTTTGACTATGCTTTTATTGAATTTTTGGTCTGGTTGAGCTAACTTCCATCATCTTGTGGCATCAAGTCTCTTTGTGAAAATCTCATACTCCCTTGTTGCAATTCAACTCTCCTCTCAAGTATAAATCCTCTTTTTGCGGGAGAATCAAACCATTTTTCATGATGCAAGGAGAGAAAATGTCCCCCTCCTAAAATTTTCTCATTATCTCTCTCATCATTATTTTCAAATGAGTTTCCTCTTAAAAGTAGTCTAACTACATTTACTCGCATGAACTCCTTCTTGTATTTATGTAGTGGTCTTAGTTTGTGATATCTAGAAAATAAAACAAACAAATATATAACAACAAAAGCTTCAAGTGAGTATAACTCACTCACTTAAGCTAAACCTGCTTTAAGCGAAGCAAAAACCATGCTTAAGTGAAAGTAGTACAAGCAAGGGCATTGTTGTCTTAGGCAACATTGCTCGCTTTAATGACTAAAAGACTACACTTAGGCAAGACTAGCATAAGTAAACAACTATGCTTAAGCACAAAGTCAAGTTTATTATTTCCTAGTTTAAATTTATGTTGCAAGATAGATAAGTATGGAGAATATAAACTAAAGATAGATATGAAAAAATAAAAACAATAAATTATGAAGAAATTAACTCAATAAATAACACTTATTTCAAATGTTTGAGAGCACAAATTTATGTCACAAAAATAAGCAAAACAAGGCAGAACTCACCAATAAATGAGAGTAGAAGTGCATAGGGAATAAAGAGATGTAGAGAGTGAAAATGATCTATTAAGTTTAGAGGTGGGATAGGGTTTATATAAAGGAGAAAATGATTGAAGTTATTGAGTCATGCTAGGTCACTTAAGAAACAAAATACTCGCGCTTAAGCTATATTTTTGGGATTTGGCAGGTTTAAGAGAGTAGTTGCTTCAACGGTCGAGTTCAGATCAATTAAGCAACAATATACTCACGTTTAAACGAGATTTTATGGGAATTAAGGTGGTTTAACAGAGTAATTGTTCCAACGATTGAATTTTGTTTGATTAAGCTAAACAATACTCGCACTTAAGTGAGTTTAATTGATCATTGGAATTTTTAAGATAATAAATGCCCTAATAGTCCAATTTGATCACTTAAGTGAGCTTAACACTTAATCAACACATTGGAGATTTTAAGACAGTAATGCTCTCACAATTCAATTTAATCGCTTAAGTGCAGGTTAAGTAATGCTTAAGTGATAGTATAATCTGTGTGAAATTGTGTTAGTTTATTTGTTTAAACATGGCTTAAGATCCACTTAAGTGATCATACAATCTGTGTAATGTTGTGTTAGGTGTCTCGCTTAAGAGTATTCTAATGTTCGCTTAAGCGAGTATATAATTTTTTGTGATATTGTGTTAGCTTAATCATTTAAGCGTGGCTTAATCACTGCTTGAGGGATTGTACAATCCATGTCTGCGACGTTTAAGCTAAGCAAATATTGCGTTAAGCAATAATATAATAATACATATGATTAAGCTGAATCATTCACTTAAGTGGAAAGGATGATTCAGTTCTTCCTTATTTAGTTTCCATTATGTAAACTAGAGAGATTTTGGTTGGATACGGCAAGCAAGGGTTCCAATTGTGATATTTAGGTATAGCTTGTTTTACTTTTTATATGATTAAACAATGTAACACATATATGTTATATCCTTTTTTGATAAGTTTATTTTAGTGGAGTATAAAGTGAGAAACTCTGCAACTTTTGTTTAAAACAATCGGGTACACATGCCTAAGCGTCTCACGCTTAAACCTATGTTTGCATTTCAATGAACATCGCTTAAGCGGACATTTACGCAAGCTTAAGCGACACTGTTTAAGCAACCACTATTTCAATCTTAAGTGAGACTTGCTTAAGCATTCTAATAATATGGCTCAGGCGATGTTGGCTTAAGTGTTTTGCATTGAGTGATTCAACGAACATCACTTATGCAGTTTAGTTGGTTATTTAAGAGAATATTTATATACACATTGATATAAATTATTTATGCTAATCTAAATGAATCATGTGATTATAATATTTTAGATAGTTTTAATTATAATAAATGGTGATGTATATGTAGTAACGTGGTTACTGTTTCTAATATATTGAATGAAAAAATAGATATGAAATGTAGTTGGTGATAATATATACCAATATAGTTCATTATAAGTTATAAATAGTTATGCATGTACTTAACAAATGTGAAAAATTCTTATTATAGAAGATTGATGTATAATAGAATATATTCTAATTAAAGAATCACTGAAATTTTTTTTTTTTCAAAATACAATGATATGAAAACCTTATAGTTACCAACCTATATAAAGAAAATAAAAATTTAAAAGAAATGACAATAATTTTTCTGCAAGAGTCACATTTATTCCGGAACAATTTATATTACAATTTTAACCATCATTTTCTACACAAGTTAATTTTTAAAATCGGTCCAAATTTTCTCACTAATTCAAGTTTCACAAGTCCAACCTCCTATATAACTCCATCAAGAAGATCAAGAAGAATCAAATAATGATCAGTAATTCATTCTTATTCTATTATCATATTTATTTAATGTTTTTGAACAATTTATGTAATGTTATTATTTTATATATTGATTATATTATTTCAATATACATACATTATTACAAAATATGTTTTCTACGTCATCATTTAACGCTCGGTTAAAATTGAGATGATCTTGAATACAATTTTAACGTCGATTGGTTAAAAAACGATATTGAAAATTGAATTTTCAACACATTCTAAGTTGGTTTTTAATTAATCGACGTAGAAAATATTTTCTACGCTCGGTTCCCGGATGAGCCGACGTAAAAAATATTTTTTTCAGCGAAAAATTCGCTTAAGTTAGAGAATTGTTACTTGTCAAACTTCGAATATAATATCTTCGAGTTGAAGACTGATACTTCAACCACTAAACTATCAAGATTTTCTCGATAAAAATATACAAATAAATGTATATTTGTGTAAATATATAAATATATAAATATAAATATATTTATATATTTTGATATATTTATATAGTTATATATTTATATGTTGGATGTGAGGACGAGTTCGAGATTGAAAGTGGGATTGACTCTCATTTGAGCGAAAATATGTTAAAGCTCACAGAAATTTACTCGCTCAAGCGAAAATATTTCGCTTGAGCGAAAATTGGTATTTTTCGTTGAAGTGAATAACGCATTTCCCAAATTTATTTTATATCATTATATAAATAAATTATAAAGATTATATTTTGTCATTAAATTACACACTCATATAAAGATACCCGCTCACAAATTTGACATCAAATTTTGAAAACTCACTCAACACACACTTTCAACTTCGAGTGTGCCCTCACATCCAAAATATAAATATATAAATATATAACTATATAAATATATCAAAATATATAAATATATTTGTATTTATATATTTTATATTTATATATTTACACACACACACATATATATATATATATATATATATATATATTTATATAAATATAATTTATTTATAAATTATTATTAGTGATTGAAATATCAACCTTCAATTCTAAGATACTAAGATTGAATCTGTGAGTGACAATCCTCTTGAACATTTAATTTGGTAATGATTAAAATTTATAAAAAATATAATAAAAATTATCGCCACTCATTTTTTGTTAGAGCAACTCTTGCTTATATGTAGATATATTGGTTTAAAGCTACTATTGCTTCGATGATCAATAGTTTGTTTAGGCAAGACGTGCTTAAATCACTACCTCTTTAGTGGAACAACGTTCGTTTAAATAGAGTGTCAAACATTTATACAAGACTTGCTTAAACAACAATATAATCGCTTAAGCGAATCTCACTTAAAAGACCCTTCAACCAAAGAATAAATTTGCACATGTAATGTAATGCTCACTTGAATGCAAGTTTAAGCATCAATCACTTAAAGCAGATGTATTCTTGCTGAAGCAAGAGTCGCTTGACACGTTCCGCTTCCAACTTAAATGAGTTGAATTTTTTTATGACGTTCACAAAATTTGTGTGATGCCAAATTTTAGGATAATTTGGCTCTTCATAATAAAGTCCTCACAACACTGTTTTGTAACGAATTTTTATATAATTTTATGATGAATTTGTCCGTCACAAAAAAAGACTGTTTTTTTTTTTACAACCGGGTAAAAAAAATCAAGGACAAAACAAGTTCATGTATATTACAGTTACTAACTAACTTATTGTTCATCGAGTGTGATGGGTTCTTGAACATATATTCAACAATAGAAAATAGAAAAGAAAAGAACAAAAAATATAAATAGAGATTGGTTTGGTAAAAAATGAATATCTATCAATAATAATAATAATATTAATATTATTATTATTAAAAAAAAAATAGGATGTGAAAGAAGGCATTACAAACGAAGAATCATGGATTGAGCAACGCGAGGGTTGGGAATAACTGGGAAAGGAAAGAAAGCAATTGTAGTTGATTATGTGGAGGGCTATAATCGATTATGCATAACCAGTATCAGCATTTTCATGCAAATTTTCTCTTGACGTGAATTTTTTTTATGTGGGTCTCATCAATTTTTTTTCAAATTTTTCATCACATTTCTACTCTTCTACATAACCATTCACTCTCTTCTTTCCTCTCTTCCATTTCTTTGATATCAAATGAACCATCAAAGAAAGGGATAGTTATCTTAGCGCAATGAGTTTTGCTAGAGTATGATGTCTGCACTAGGAGTTTAGTCAAAGTGATATATTTAAGGAACACATAACAATTGAATTACACAATGAAGGATTATCCACACAGGAGTCCAACTTAAACCTTGATTTGAGTTAATGAGCACCTTCCTTCATTTATGTAATTACTTCACCTAGCTATAAATCAAAAGTCTCATGAAGCAGTCAAATCTACAGTTTAACCAGCTTCGAGGTTTACAATTTTTTGTATTTATAGTCTTCCCAATAGTCATCGACACTACTGTGAAATCATTGAACTATACGTAATATATTAACGTAATGCTTTATAATTTCCCATATCACATGAAACAACAAGGGTCGGGTTGTTCAGTACAGTTTTAGAATTAATCTTCCAATGCATAATATATAATTAAACGCAAGAAATCGATCATGTTAAAACGGAAGAGTAATGAGGCATGAGCTGTGTTACCTTGATTTCTGAAGCAGGATTCATTACGTGGTGATGGTCCTCTTTGACCTTGTTATAGCGATCGATAACAGATTTCATGCTGCAGAAACGTACATAAATGAGATGGGAACATGATCATCTATCTATAAACACTACTTCTATCAGTACTATTCTTAGCACTACACAAAATTGACATTGTATGTTCTATAAATTAACAAAATACATTACATTATAATATTGATATATTCTATTCAGTTCATCAATGATAGTATACACGATACTGTTAGTATTGTTTCGCGATGTTTATAATTAATTATTTAATTTCTACCAGGTAGAAGTTATTTTAACGAAAACAACCCCAACAGTATTTGTGTTTAGTAAATAACATTTGTTTTGTAATGAAACCAAATATGGGATATAAATTGTGAGGATCAAGGACAGGCTGGACTAAATCTAAAAATAAGCTAATCTATCTGAATCAATGGAGCTAAATTGTGAAACCATTTTTTTTATCAGTCAGAAAACAGAAAAGGGAGGCTAAGACCAAGCAGATTATATTCCCAAAGCATCTTTCCACAGCGTCAAATTATAAGATTTTAAACATATAGAGCAGAACAAAGGAATATACGTGAAAAGACACGTTGAAACATAAACTGAGTCCAAGTTTTGTAGAAAGACACACACTAAAACAGTACTAACATATGAACAAATATGTATCGAAGTAAAACTTAAGATGATGCAGGTCTTACAGTTCTAATATAATAATATAAGGAGAATTTTGAAACAAAAACCCGTCTATGAAAAGATGGGGCTGACATGGGGAATCTGCATATTGGATACATGGATCAAAATGGAGACAACCAACAAAAGCTTGAGACTGAAATTGAATAATGGAAAAGTCATAAAGGAATGAGTTTGCTAATAATCAAGTTCCTTAAACTCAACACCATAGAAAGTTTAGTGGGCAGTTAGAAATTTTAGTATGATAATTAAATGTTGGAATTACATGGATTTATGTAGGAAATGCACCCACGAATATTATTTGAAATGTGTATAAAAATACAAAAAAATATTAGAAATATAGAAAAGCATGAAAAAATAATTAAAATAATTATAAATAATAATACTAGTTGCACTAAATATTCAATTAAATTAACTGTTTTAGTAACAGAATTTATTATGAAGGAGATGCAGATCAGCTTAGATTAGCCTCCCAAAACTCGTTAACTTTGTAAACATGGATTTGTCTTTGAGGTTATATGGGTGAGACCAAAGACACTCAAATACAGCTGAGAAAAATAATGTTGCCTACAGTTAAGTAGTAATCCATAAATCTAGCAAATAATTAGAGTTTCGAGCATGAACTACGCCCTAGAAAGTCAGAAAAACAGCAATATTGTTGATTGGATTCGAAAATAGATTGATATGGAGATGGATTACAAAACCATGTAGCTCGCTAACCTATACAATATAAGAACTTGACTTCTTGAATTTCAGAAGTTAAATTTATAATAGAATGTATCATAGTCGCTAGAAGAAAATCAAAGGAAAATATTTCAGCATTTTTCGTGTTTATAAAATTGTATTCCCAGTTAAATAATGTATATGTAACCCCATGCCATGAGGTTTTCCTGCTAATATTTCCAAGATAATAGTCCCATTCCTGAGAATTTTATATTAACAGAATGCAAGCAGAAGAACACCAAAGTACTAGATTCACAAATAAATGTGTACTTAATTGACTATTCACCTACAAGAAATGTTTACTCCCCATAACTAACAATAAAGCACACAAAATCAGTGAGTAAAAAGTGAAAAAAAATGGAAGGAAGAGATAGGAAATTGATGGTACCTTGTGCTAGCAAATTCATAAAGCTTGCCAGTGCTGGAGAACACAATCAATCCAACTTCTGCATCACACAGAATGGATAGCTCTCTAGCTTTCTTAACCAACCCACCTCTTCTCTTGGAAAAGGTCACTTGCCGGCTAGACGAATTATCGATCCTTCGAATCACGATCTTTCCTCTCCCCATCTTTTTCAAAACTTACTAGGGTTCTTGCACAAGGTTTTCTTCAAGGCCTTTTGCAAGTTAACAGAAGAAAAAATCTGAAATGTTGATTGAATACTAACGATCAAAACAGGCTTAATTAGAAAGAAATTTGAACGATTGGTTGAGAAATGAAAAAACGCGATGCAAACTAGGAAGAAAGGACATTACAGCAGTAGTAATAAGTATGATGTAAAACGAAAAATATAATGAAATGGAAAACTTACTTGAAAATTATGAGACTGAAAAGGAAAACGGGTAGAGGAGCTAGAAGAAGAAAGTGATGCAATTTCGGAGCTTTATAGGGAAAGAGAAAAGTGGTTTTTGTGGGACTCAAGACGGTTCAGTGTGCTGAGGTTTCAGAGTGTGGGGCCAACTGAACGAGTGTAGTGTAATGGACATCAGAGAAATTATTGAATTTAAACAATTCTCTCACAAATGAACTAAAAACCAGAAAAATAAATAAAGAAATTGTTATTTTTCATGTCCCATCCAATAAAAAAAACTATTGTCAATGATAAGATTATTGACTTATATAATTAATGTGTACAGTCTAGGTCAATTAAGATAATATGCACATAGTCAATAATAAACACAGAACTAAACATGTGAATGTAACAAAAAGAAACCCTAATGACTTTGTCAAAAATCCCAATGAAAACAAAATTACTTATAAATAAAATATTATTTTGCTTTACTTTATTTTATTTGTTATTTAATATAAAATATACTCTTTTTTAATACTCTCTCAAACCGTTTAAAAATATACACTTTAAGAAGAACATGAAAAACTAGTTAGCATTTTATAAATATAAAATCATATAAATGGACATGTTAATACGAAATATATAGGAGTATTAATTGTTTCAGTTTTAAATCAATTTAAGCAATGTATATTTTTATTCAGAATCAATCATTTTTATTATATTCTATTTATTCATCTTGAACTATATCTTAACTGAATAATATTTTATTGATTATACTGTATAATTAGAATCAAATATGTTTTTAAAAATTTTCTAAAATAATAAATAATGTAACAAGAAGAAAAAATTAAAAAATAAATGACAGAAAAAATGAAAATGGGGGAATGAAGAATAAGCTGAAGTCAAGATTGGTACAGATCGAATGTGCCACGTTTCGGAAAGTGATTGCCCTATTACAATCAATGACGTGGCAGTGAGTGTGTGGCATCTGAAATTGTTTGTTCCTTCGCTGTAAAATCTGAGACCTCATTTTATTTATTATTATTTTCATCTTGGAATACTTACAAATAATATAAATTAATTAGAATCCACCTACTGTCTAAACATTTTTTAAACAAATTTAACATTAAAAATATAATAATGATAAACTTAAAACAATATTATTTATTTATTGTTTTACATATAATTTTTTATTATTAATTTAGCATGATATACATATTTTATTGTCAGTTATATATAGTTTATCAATGTTAATAAATATATGTTGCATCTTAATTGTTAACATTATAAACTTTTAATATTGTATGGTTGCTATATTATTTTAAAATTTAAATCTTAAAAGGTTTAATTTTAAAAACATTAATAAGTATTATTTTGTTCGAAGCGAAATTCAACTTAATTTTTTGGGTTTGGTGAGTGGAAAGTATGCTATTTACTAAAAATGATTTTTTACATTTTTTTCATAAAATATTACTATTAATAAAATTGATTGGTATATTGCACTAATAATACATTAATAGAAAATAGTATATCTTTAAGTGGGTATAACTTAATATTGATAAATTTTATATAACAATTATTTTAAATATTTTATGTAAAGAGATTTTCAATTAAACAATAATGTAATTTCCTTTTTACATTTTTAATGAATGAATTGAAAAGTATATTAAATTTTAATTTAAATATATTATATCATACATATTTTGTGTAACTATTAACTAATTAGAAATAATTTTTCATAAATGAGATTTAAAATAGCTTATATCTCCTACTCTTTTGATTTTATATCCCTTTTAGGCATTATAAAAGTTGTGTGGCAACTTTTTTGAATAATGTAAACATCCTAAAAGTTATGGGATAGCAACTCCTACTTATTAGGGTTAGGAGTTTTGTGATTGTATCTTACCCTAATGATTTAATGTTCATCCGATTAGACTCATTCCTAACTTTATTTAATTGATTAAATCCATATCCGACTCAAGTGGTTAGATCTATTCCATATTCTACATCTAGGAATGTACAAAACTCAATAATGTTGAGCTATTAATTACTTTGCTATTAAGAAGTAATATATAAAAATAAAATAAATAAAAATATTAAATTTTAAAAATGAAATTTGAGAAAAATAAGAACATTAAAGTGAACAATGTCAAAGAAATTTATAAACCACGAAAAAAATATGTATTTTTGAAAATAACATGCAAAACGGTACTTCGTTCATGTATAAACACTATTGTTTTAATTAATAATAAAATGAAGTTAAAAATGATTTTTTTCTTGTAATGAAAATTGTAAAATAAATAAAATAAATACATTATAATTGTGATAGGTAATTGTATACGTTATATAGATTCGAATTTGATACAACTTATCATTCAATTTAATCAAAATCGTGTGAAACATGTAATTCATGAAGTTAGGGTGATAGTAGAAAAAGGATCTAAACAAGTACATAGATAGAGGAACAAAGTTTTAATGTATTCATACAGAACACAAATTCATTACATCTATTAAAAACTATTGTGGAGGTACAATATTTATAACAGAAACTAGAAGTTAGTTAGGTTAATTAATCTAATAGAAACAATCATATAATCATTAAATTATTATTTAATTCAACCTTTTAATTCAATAATTAATTTTATATTTAAGTATTTTCTCAATTCTTCAAATCTTTTATTATTTAAAGACTTCAATGGAATCTTATTTCAACTTTCTTGCTTCATTCTTTATATTTTTTTTAACTCCTCTATCCATGTAATTTAGATTTATTAGTCTTTGATTCTTTGGGAGATCAATTAATTCTCACGTTTTATTAAGCAAATTGATTCAGTTCAATATCAACATACAAGATCATTCTCGTCTTTCATTTCTCCAATCATCTGTTCAATTGGTGTAATAGAATCATCAATATTAATTACATAAAAATTAAATCTAACTAGTGTCTTAATCGATCTAATTGGTCGATTTCTCCTTCCTTCGATTTTTAGAAATCGATTAATTTCTTCCTCCTTTGATTTTGAGAATTAATCGATTTTCTTTTCCTTCGATATTAAAAATCAATCGATCTTTGTCTTTGATTTCTATATCACATGAGTCATCAAAGCTAACACTTCGATTTTTCACCATCGAACACCATTTCCAACAATCTTTCTCATCTACAACATCTCTACTGATGATCTTCTTCTACATAGGATCATAATGTATAAATAAATATATTAAATGATCATTAAGTTTGAGGGGACAAAATCATAAATTATATAAGAATTATGAGTGATGAGAGGATAAAATTGTAAATATACAAATAAATATATTAAATGATCATTAAATTTGGGGGGCCAAAATCATAAATTACATAGGAATTACAAAACTTTGAGGGGGTCATGGCCCCCTTCAGCTCCCAAAAAGATCCGCCACTACATGTGATATCATGCCAAAATCAACTTTTGAATTTTATCATCGAGTTTCTTCCTCCTCTCATCTGGAACATGTCTCTAAGTAATCGAACCAAATACTTTCAAATGTTTTATATTTGACTTTCTCATATATCATACTTCTTGTGGAATTTTCTTCTTTACTCTCTTTGTTGGACATCTATTTAAGATGTATACAATTGCCGATACTGTTTCTCCCCAAAACGAATATGACAAGCCTTTGGTATTCAACATACTTCTGACCATATTTAAAATTGTTTAATTTCTTCTTTATGTAACTTCATTGTGTTATCGTGTATATGAGGTACTATCTCATGCAAAATACTGTTCGCTTTGCAAAATGATGCAAATTCATCATTGTTGTACTCTCCATCACTATTCAATCTCAATACTTTGATAGCTATGTCAATTTATTTCTCAACTATCGATTTAAAATCGATGAAGCGACTAAACACCTCTGACTTCTTCTCGATCAAGTACACTCACATTTTCTTGCTATAGTCATTGATGAATGCCACAAAATACATGTTACTACCTAGTGAAGGAACATTGAAGGGTCTACACACATCGGTGTAGATAACTTCCAACACATCCTTGCTTCTGGTCTCAATATGCACCTTAAAGGGATTTCTGCTGGTTTCTTTATCAAGAAACTTTTACACATGTCTTTACACTTTTGGACTCGAGGCAATCCAATCATAATTTCCTTCTTTATAAGTTGGCTCAAACTATCAAACTCAAGATGATCATACCTTAAATGCTATAACCAATTGACATTCGAGATTGTTGCTACAAAACATAAGTTATTTGATATTGAAATATCAACTCGAAAAACTCTGGTCTTATTTAGAGGTGCCTTTAAAATTAATGTTTCATTCTTATTAAGGATTCTCAATATTTGTTTCATCGATCTCCAATCGATCAAGAGTCATTTTCAAAGAAGTTTACCAATACTCAACAAATTTTGCTTTATGGGTAGAACATAAAGCACATCCAAAATTATTACAGATTTTTTATCTCTTCATTTGATCATTATTCTTCATTTTCCCTCACAACTCACTATTGAATTATTTGCAAATTTCACCTTCGACTCATATTTTTATCTAGATTAATGAACTAATTCTTCTGAAATGATATATGATTCGAACAACCAATATTCAAATACTAAGATTCATTAAAAGTCTCCACTGATTTCGTCATAATCACCAATAACAGTTCTTCATCCTGAGTCTTCCTTTTGTGCAACATTTGCTTCTTCTTTACTCTAACAGTCAACAACATAATGGTCATATTTGTAATAATTGTAATACTGTACATTCTTTTTACTTGCACTAAAGTCAAATCA